CGGGGTCGGTGCGGTGCGAACAGCCCGAGGGAAGCGCGGAAAGCCCGGCCCCGCCGCCCCGGGACACACCTGCGGACACGGGAGCGCCGTCCCGCTGCGGAAAACACCGCCGCTCGGCCCAGCTGCCACAGAGTTTAACGGGGCGCGGAACCGGAGAGGAAGGCGCGGCGCTGGGGTGCTGCTGGCCAGCAGCCAGAGAACACACTCGGAATTGAAACAGTTTGTCTTTATCATTCCCGAGACTCATGCATATTCATCTGCTCCATCAGTCAGACCTCCTTGGGAAGCCCTGTGGATGAGCTCTTCCCATGCTCCTGTCCCATTACTATAATATTATTATTATTATTATTATTATTATTATTATTATTATTATTATTATTATTATTATTATTATTATTATTATTATTATCGGGATCTCCGATGCTCCTGTGCCAGCCCACAGACGGAAAGTCAGTGCTCCTGCACCATTCCACAACTTGGTTACACAAAGGTGGCTTTAGTGTCTGTTTTTAACAGTTTGCCTATGGCGCGATGTGTTTATTACATTACCAGTCATAGAAAGTATACGGTGTATTCTGACAGATTATACAAGTAATCTGCAATAATACGTTTTATAAAAAAATAAATGTATTATAGAAATAATACGTTTTTTATACTACACAAAAGAAGTTAAAAGTGTGAGTCGTCCTTACTGAAATGCTCGTGATACAAAAAGTTAATCTGTAAATGTCAAAGCCGGTGTTGTCATCTGTAAGGCTGGGCAGTTCCAAGGCCTGGCCACCCTTTCCATGGGGAAATTCCTGCTGCTGTTCCCCCTGTCCCTGCCCTGGCCCAGCCTGAGGCCGTTCCCTCTCCTCCTGTCCCTGTTCCCTGGCAGCACAGCCCGACCCCCCCGGCTGTCCCCTCCTGGCAGGGACTTGTGCAGAGCCACAAGGGCCCCCTGAGCCTCCTTTTCTCCAGGCTGAGCCCCTTTCCCAGCTCCCTCAGCCGCTCCTGGGGCTCCAGCCCCTTCCCCAGCTCCGTTCCCTGCCCTGGACACGCTCCAGCCCCTCGGGGTCCATCCCCCAGAGCAGGACAAGGGGTCGGTGGTGCCGGTGCCAGCGCAGGGGAACGCTCTGGGCCATGGGGGTGACCCCAAAAATGTGTCCATGGGAACCCTAAGAAATGCTCAGCCCCACAAGTGCAAAATCAGAGAACACTGAGATGGTTTGGATTGAAAGGAGCCCTGAAGCCTCTCCAGTGCCACCCCTGCCATGGCAGGGCCACCTTCCCCTGTCCCAGGCTGCTGCAAGCCCTGTCCAGCCTGGCCTTGGCCACTGCAGGGATGCAGGGGCAGCCCCAGCTGCTCTGGGCACCCTGTGCCAGGGCCTGCCCACCCTCCCAGCCAGCAATTCCTTGCCAATATCCCAGCTGGGCCTGCCCTCTGGCACTGGCAAGCCATTGCCTGGGTGCTGGCCCTGCAGGCCTTGTCCCCAGTCCCTGGGCAGCTCTCCTGGAGCCCCTTTAAGCCCTGCCAGGGGCTCTCAGCTCTCCCTGGAGCCTGAATACTTGTGCAGGGGAGCAGCCCCAGCTCTCCCAGGCTGCCTCCAGAGCACAGGGGCTCCAGCCCTGGCAGCAGCTGCCTGGCCTCCTCTGGGCTGGCTCCAGCAGCTCCACGTCCTTGTGCTGGTGTTGCCCAGGGCTGGGGCAGCTCTGCAGGTGGGGTCTCACCTGAGCACAGGGGCACAGGGGCACAATCGCCCCTCTCCCAGGGACACACCACAGCCCTGCACGCTCCACATCTCACCCCCAGCACAAGCAAACTCCCCAAAAAGATATCTCTGGAAATATATTTTAGAACTAGAATTTACATCTTCCTGCCTTTGTGGTGCTGAGCCCCTGTTTGAGCACCAAACAGAACAGGAAAAGGTGCGTGAAGTATCCCCTGAAAAATGCAACGTATTTTTGCTGAATACACGGGGATTTTGGCAAGGGGCTGGCGTGCTGCCACAGCCACTCCAGTAAGAACCAAGAATAAACGGGAGTTTAAAAAATTGTTATATTGCCCTGTTGAAATTTCCTGCTCTCGCTGTTCAGTCACTTATGTCTGAGGATATTAGCATTGAAAAGCCATATATAATGTTCCTGTTATAATATATATATATAATATATAATGTTCCTGTGTCTGTCTTCTCTGCCTGGGCAGGTGCAGCTGAAGTCTCTCCAGGCCAGGATTTCCCGAGCTGTGTGTTTCTGGAGATTCCAGGGATTCTGGGAGGGAGGTAGGAGCTCCAGGTGCGAGGGCAGCCGGACTCTCAGGTCACACCCCAGCACCTCCCTCTCTGGGGCACAGGATTAAAAACCCTAATTAGACAGTTAATGAGCACCGAGATTCCCTCAAACAGGAGGGCAGGAGCTGCAGGACGTTCAGCAGGGAATCATCCACATTTCCCAGACAGCAGATCTGAACGCACCGTGTCAAACTCAGCTTTTAGGAGGGGGAACGAAAGGCTGCTGTGAGCTTTGGGGCAGTATTTAGGTTTATTTCTCTGCCCCCCTGTGCAGCAGGGATGCGTTCAGCGTGAGAGGGTTCCCAAACGTGCCCCACAACGCTCCCATCAGATTTCTGCCCAAGTGCCCAGCAGTGTGCTGCTGCTTGCCACACAGCGGTGTCGATGGCAGGGGTGCCACCACTACCCTGAAGCGTGCAGGCGACACGGAGAGAGAGGCTGGAGAGCTGTATGGCATTCCACTGAGAAACAGCCTTTATTATAGCAGGGCCCTCAGTGAAGGGAGCCAGTGACAGCAGCTCACCAAAATGGGGAAAAACCGGGATATTTATGGGGAGGGAGAGGGGAGGGGAAACTGGGATACAGGTATCGGGGGGGATTGATAGGGAGGGAAACCAATGGGGTGGAACAAATTAACATGTTCAGCTCTAGGGGCTCTGGGAGTGACACTTTTTCTCTCCATGAGATAAAGTGTCTCGCCGAGGGAGAAGCTCTCCAGGGGAGGGACAAAATCTCGGAGGTCACCGGTTCCCCAGCCACCATACTGCTGACAATAAAATGTCTGTTTAGGCTGTCCCAGTGATCCTGAGAGATCTGGGCCGGCCTTGGCCAGAACGCAGATTTCTGGAACCAAACCACCCTCAGTAAATAATTAATGCACTCCTCCTTACAGGAGATCTTAACTCAGTAAGAGCCAATTCTTTTTAAGGTCTGTTCAAAAAAAAAAAAAAAAATGGAACAAAACCAAACAAAGAACACTTCCAAGCAGAGGTTGTGTTTCTTCATCTGCACTGGCAGCTGCAGAGCAGGGTGGGACACCCACAGCTGGATTTCCAGCTGGATTCCCCTTTCCAGATGGATTTCCCACCTGGATTTCCAGCTGGATTTCCCTTCCCAGCTGGATTCCCTTTCCAGCTGGATTTCCCTTCCCAGCTGGATTTCCCAGCTGGATTTCGAGCTGGATTTCCCTTCCCAGCTGGATTTCCCTTCCCAGCTGGATTCCCTTCCCAGACGGATTTCCAGCTGGATTTCCCTTCACAGCTGGATTTCACAGCTGGATTTTCTAGCTGGATTTCCCTTTCCAGCTGGATTTCCCAGCTGGATTTCCCGCTGGATTTCCGTTCCCAGCTGGATTTAGAGCCCAGATCTGGGCTGGGGCTCTCGGCACAGACCACACCACCCAGCCAGTATTTCTGTGCTGTGAGGAGCTCCCTTGCCAGCCCTTCCCCAGGCTCCCCGTGTCCACCCTCCCTCCCCTGCCAGCCTTACAAAAAACAAAAACAAACCCAAAAAAAAGGGTTACAAAACCCTTCACATCCCATTTCCCACCCCCTCCTCTTTCCCACAGCATAAAAAGCTGCCTCTGCAGTTTTAGCAAGTCCTTCCACTGGTAACAGTTAAAAAAAAAGGAACTGAACTTAAAGGAACTCTTCCAGAAGGCAGAAGGGTGTTTAAAATGAGCCATTTGAAGCTTAAAAACAATTTAAAAAAAATCTTTCTTTACACACCAGAAGTTGTTAAAACTCCCTCGTGGTCCAGCAGAGCAGAGTCCTTGTCTGCTGTCCCCGGCAGATCTGTTTGAATGCAGAGGAATTCTGCTCTCTGGTGACCAACAGATGATTAATGGAAAGATAAACTCGTTGAGAAATGAGGCGCTTTGTGGTCCAGCCCTCTCCTGACCGGCACACATGTTCCCATTAATTCAATTCCGGTTTCATTAGCAGCCGGAATGATGAAGCCATTTGGTATCCAGGAGAGTGGAGCGTGGTAGGCAAGGACACACGGGTCTGCTAAGAGAAGAGGCGACCGCAGCTCATTCTCCAAGGCCGAAATGCATTAAATCGGAACTATAGAAATTTCACATTGCCCCGGCGCTGAGCGTACTGTGATTCACTGAGCTGCAGAAAGCAATCATCCTCCACATGGAGAGCGAGTGACCTGGCCTTGAGCACAGAGCAAGCAGCCTCCAGCTTCTCCTCTCAGCCCAGGGGAAAGGAACATTTCCTCCCTGGACTTTCCACACAGAACAAATTGCATTAAAATTGCACTGATACTTCAATTGTGCAGCAACGCCCCCGGGCCTATTACCTGGAGAGGCTCTGACCTCTTGTTTCAGTTTGATACTCTCCTCCCTGCTGCTCTTTACCCAAAATGACCGGTTCTTACCCAGGGCTTGGGGCCTGAAGCTTGCTGCCTCAGCTGTGTAAGAATCAGGAGTTTTGGGGTGCTCCAGGGAGAAGCAGAGGTAGCAGAACGGGTCAGGACAACAAAGTTGTTCTTCCCCTGTAAGAAACCCCAAACAGCTGGAGCCTGCTCAGCTCCTGACCCTACCACAAACAGATAAATAGATAAAACCCAAATAAATAGAATACAGATAGATAAACCCAAATAAATAGAATACAGATAGATAAATCCTGACTCCCACTACAAATAGAGTGTGGTACTGAGGTCTCTGCACCTGCCATCGAGTTTTTCAAAGAAAAGAAAGGCAATTTGTGGGGAGAGAGAGGGTGATCCACAGACTCTGCCAGTTTTACACGGTATTTCTGGGAGAAAAACAGAGATCCGTGCCTTTCTGCTCCAGGTCTCGTGTTCTTCAAGCCTGCAATGCTCCCCAGTATTACTGATCCAAGGAATCAAAGCATCCCTCCACATCTGAAGCACACCTGAGGTGAAAATGAGCATGTTGCTGTGGTTCAGTTCTGATTTACGGCAAGGCAGGCTCTGTCTGAAGGGCAGGGACACACCGTGGCACTCATCCTCATCCTCGTCCTCATCCCCATCCCCGTCCCCGTCCCCATCCTCCTCATCCCCATCCCATCCCCATCCCATCCCATCCCATC